GCAAGTGCAAGGTCCCGAGTTCGATCCCCAGTACCAAAAAAATGGGGGGGGGTTGATTTAGCTCTGTGGTTCTGCCGCCTGCCTCGCAAGCGTAGGGTCCTGAGTTCAATTCCCAGTACCAAAAAAACAAAACAAAAAAAACCAGAGTCAGGGAGGAGCCAATGTGATTTGTACAAAAATCGTCTGGGTGTCATCACAGTCAGTGCCATTGGAATATCCTAACACACTGTCCCGAAAACAGACTCGAGGTCTTCACTTCCAGATGCCTTCCTCGCCATGAATAAGCTCCTTTTCTCCTGCTCTTCTTCACGTTTCTCCTGACTTCAACATGTTCCTGAATGCCTGGTCTGGTCAAAAACAAGTGCCCGTGTGGCTCCCCAGTGTGTGTGCACCTCTGTGTCCCTGTTTCTAACATATTGCTTCCTTTCCCTCCCTCCCCGCATCTCATAATACTCGTTAGTCTCTTCATCTTCAGCTTGCAGACTTCCCATCCCTGTCATTCTTGGCCCAAATGTTGGCATGAGTTTTGTCATTTTTCTTTGTAATTTGCATTGTATTACAATAAAATTTGACCTGGTCTCTCTCATCTCTACCGTATTTTTGCATAATTGTGCAAAGGGAAAAGTGTTTCACTTATTACTTGTCCTATGAGTTGCCTGAACTCTGTTACAGTTAGGAAAAATACTTAGGAATCATATGTTATTCATAACCACATGGCGTGTAAATAAAATGTGATTATGTTCCCAAATCCGAATATTTACATTGGATTTTGGGTTCTTTTCCCCAGTGTAATTTCTTAACCATTATTATTAAATAATAAACTTTCCTTACACTCAATTAAGCCTGGAATATGCCCAGTCTCAGGTCATCTGAAAGTTCCAGAGATACAATTGTTGTCACTTCCTGTCCAGTACACGTTTCAGGCATCTTTAAATAAGAATTGAAGCAAAGATTCGACGTGACTGCTTTTTAACCAGATCTCAAACAAATAATTTTAGTTCAGCATTTTTAATAATCAGGCAAGTTTCTTCCCTAATGAAGTGGAACTTGGTTCCCAAAAGGTTGAGGGTCCATTGTAAAGACATGTGTAAAATGTGAGACTGGACAAATGTTGAGAAACGAGGTATTTTATGAACTCACGAAGTCCTAAAGTACTGGTGCCTGGGATCTTGGAGGAGTGCTTATTAAGGTGGGCTACTTAAGTCTGACCAGGCTGCAGGTCACAGGGCATCTAGACTCAGGAGGTCCCTTCCCCAGGCCCGCCCTCCTTTCTCTACCAGCAGACAGACCTCTCCATCATGTAGTCCCTCTTCATTTAATGAAGCATTATATTCAAGGAAAAGAACCACTGTTTTATTTTGGTGAGAGATTGCTTATGAGATATTTTCCTGCCGAGTGGAAAATGCTCATCTGTGGAGTTGTTTCTCTTCCATGCGGACATACTTTCTCAACCACTGTCCTACAGTGCTGAACACTCAACTTGCTCCAGGGACAAGACTGGTACCTACACATACTTCCTTACCAGCAGTGAAACAAAACGAGCAAAAAACTTGTTCCATGTTCTTAAACTCACATTAGCACTGGGCCAAGTAATTTTGCTCTGTGCATTACTGGTCAGATTAGATTAAGAAAAATCTTGCCTTTTGGGGTTCTTTTGTTGAAGGAACGATTAAAAGGAGAGAAGCCAGACTAAGGGGAGGAAGCCTAGAAAACATCCCAGGGGTAAATCTCATCTGATCCTACTTTTTACCCAGTCCCTTTTCTGCCCTCCTCAGCTAAACTCTCGCTGTCAGACATTGCTTTGCTCAGATGGAGCACTCTCTTCTCTGTTTGTTGGTTTGTTTGTTTGTTTACTTTTGGTGCTAGGATCGAACCCAGGCCCTTACACTTGTGAGGCAGGTTGCAGAACCACTGAGCCAAATCCCCGGCTGGAGCATTCTCTTCTGTATCTCAGGTGTGCAGTGTCAAAACCAGAGTCAAAGACAGAGATGCTCAGGTTTACACGGGTTGTCAGTGTTGTTTTGGTTAATTTTGCTGTAATGACCAAGGAACATCGATAGTCCTTTTAACTGCTTCAGCCTTTAACTTTGAGTACAGCATCAGGTCAAGTTGCCAGTAGAAAGTAAGTGAATCCTGAATAGTGGGATCTGGTGTCCTCAGGACCAGGGGAAAATGCATATAAGCAGGTTGAATGTATTACAGACTCCAAATGTGATTAGACATTTGCTTGATATTTCTTTCCAGAGAGAAAGGTGAAATATTAAAGACTAGTGACTGATGTTGCCTTGGCATTTTCCAAGACCTTTAGGGTAACAATAAAAGTTACCTTGCTGACCATAAGAATTAATTTCCCAATGGGAAAGTCAGTAGCCATACATAAGCTCTGATCTCTAAGACAATTTTACTAGATCCATTTTAAAGTTTCTCTTTAAGTATTTTTAAATTTAAGCTGCTAACCAGGAATAAGTGGGTTTCACATTTTTTGAGTGTTTCATCTTGGTGCCATTTGACTCAGCAGAAAAGACCCAAGCTCAAAAATTTAGTAGACTTACAGAGAGGGCATGGGGGCCAGGACTTGAATAATTCATCTCTGAATTCTCAGTCATTTAAAGAAGATTATCAATATTTATTCTGAGAAACTTAAAAATTTACTTCCTCCAGACAGTAAAAAGTGAGGAAAGGAATAATTAGTTTTTAGTTGTCTGTCATTTTAAGTCCTCTTGCATGAGTTAGGTCTATAATGGAACTTAATACTGAAAAACTCTGGTCCCCCTCCCTTTTTGAAATAGGTGTTTTTGTTCATAAGCCAGTCTTTATATTTAGGCCAGTTCCCTTTCCCGTTACATATTCTGTACAGCCAAGCCTTTAGTTTCTGCCTTCTTCATAATCACCCGGTACCACTGTCTTCTGCCAAAAGATGAGAAACTCGGATTTCACAGAATTAAGAGATTGGCACTCTTTGCCCTGGCATTGCATTCTGATAGTATCATGGCAGTCTGACCTACTTATTTCACACAGGAAACTGCTGCCACCGCATTAGGGTTTCCTTCCAAACAGAGCCATGGCCTTTATCACACACAAGAGGCATGTGTGCAGAATATTTGGATACTAACTACCAGCCTGTGCCACCATGCAGTGGCCACACAACGGAAGAGCGCTTAGAGCCAAGCACAGATGTGATTCTCATCCCAGTCCCATTACTGTGGAAGTTCACATCTACAAGCACCTGCAGGATTCTGCTAATGGCTACAGAGAACAAGTTGCTTGTTGTCTGCTTTTCATATGTCTACAAATATGGCCAGGCTCTTCTGTGTTCCACCCTACTCTGCTTACTTTTACCATTCTGAGAAATTACTCTGTTTTTTCCCCTTCCATACACGGTTTCCCTTTAGTAGCCAGCCAACCTGGTTGTCACCAACATTGAAAGGAAGAGAAATTGAAGGTACTTAAAAGAACTCTATGGCCAAAATGAAAAAGACAGGGCGTAGCATTTCTTATAGCTTTAAATATTCTTAACGTTTATTTGTTTTAAATAACCAGTATAGCAAATGAAAGAATTGGATAAAGGCATCAGCCTAAGCATTGTTATGTCATATTTTCCTGCACATTCAGTGTCCTGGATAGGAAAAGCATGAAGACAGAGTCACACCATCGGCGATCAGAATATCTGGTTGAATGAGACTGGAGAGGGGAGGGAGGCAGCTTACATCATTCTGTATGTTGAATAATTTACTTAGTAGGGAGTTGACAGCAATAAGCCTTCACACACTCCATGGTGGGAGAGAGCAAAGGAATAACAAGTAACAGTTGCGTATGTATTGCTGAAATGCTTCTCAAAAGTGTGACAACAAGGAGGAAGGGATGTGGTTGTAAAATAAGGTGATTTCTGTGCTAATTGATACTGAATACAGAGGAGAATGAAGCATGTTTAATGAACAAGACATACAAGTAGTTTCATCAAATGACGGCTCAGTACAGTCTCCCCTCAGTTTTTAAATGGGAGAAAATGAAATTTTAAAAAATACTACTTATCAGCTAACCAGAAATCTGATTGTTAAGCAACAACAGAATTAACATGAGCATTCTGACAAGTTATGTGAGAATACAAACCCACCTTCAGACTAAGTTAATCTACCTGTATCCAGATCCATATGATAATAGATAATTGTTTTAAATTGTACTAGAACTGTGTTCTCCTACTTTTTCTTTGTTTTTATCCTCTAAGTGACTTGTTTAACTTGTTATTACTGCTACTTTTAAACAATTAAAAAAATTGTTTGCTGTGGGTGAGGGTACATTATCTGTGGATTTGAGGGCAGACACCAGTAACTAGTGGTTTTTGTATATGAGGAGTGGATCTTGTGCATTTGTGAAGGAATAAAATTATACTGTCTTTAAAGTGGTGAGGTCTTGCTAGGTGTGGTGGTGCACACCTGTAATCCCAGCACTTGATCGCTGTGAGTGTGGGGCCAGCCTGGGCGGCATAGTGAGTTCAAGGCTAGACTGAGTTTCATAGCAAGACCCTGTCTCACAAAGCCAAAAATAAATAAATAAGATGATGTCTAGAGAAATCATGAAAAATGATTGAACATTAGAAAATAGGATAAAATTTTCAACAGTATTGACCTTACGTTTATTTTTTTCATGTTTAAATAAACTTTGGTCCTTTGACTAGGCAAGTCTTTCTTACTTTCTTCATTTCCAAAGTTGGTATCGCCTTGCTGTTTTAATAGTTCGGGGATGACTGAATTACATACAGAATACTGACATGTTCTTGTGCGTTTGTGATAATCTTAAACTATTCAATTCAAAGACTTTCTGTCACTGACAACGGACTAAGATGATGGTGGCCAGGACTGCTTGGTCATGTAACTAGTAATGGATATATTTCTCTTTCTCAATGAGCACATCAGTGAAACCATTAAAGATAGAAGACAAACCCTTATTATCAGCACTTCTCAAAATAATTTTATTATATTCTATTTTTCTGTTCTGCACAGGAAGAATTTAATGGAAAACCTGACTCCCTCTTTTTCAATGATGGCCAGCGAAGAATTGACTTTGTTCTAGTGTATGAAGATGAACAGAGAAAGGAGACGAATAAAAAGGGCACAAATGAAAAACAGCGGGTAAGTTTTTTTTTTCTTTTTAATTCCCTTTTTTATTCCTTACAATATAGAAAATGGGGGGTTGCTACTTTTTACGTAAGCAAGAAAGTGAAACCAGAATTGAAATATCATGTAACAAACTTTTATTTTCTGTGTTCATGTTCCCTCAAAGCATGTTAACAACAATAAAAAAAAAATTGAAACAGAAATGTCCTCAGGCTCCTAGGCTCAGTAGGTTTCTGTGGGGGCAGAAGAGACATGCTTTAAAGCACACCTGGCTATTTGCAATTAGGTAGAAAAGGAAACTAATAATTAATGACAACAAATATAAAAGCACTAGCATTTGGTGGGTGTGTGCTTACCCAGGTGTTACAGGTAGGTGCATTTTGCTTATGTTTTCTCATTCAGTTCTCACCACATCCTGAAACCGCCCCCATCATCACACCCTTTATCAATGACAAAGCTGACCCTTAGAGAAGTTAAATGATTATGCAAAATTAGGGCCACTGATCCAAGTGTGGAGCCATGGTTCAAACTCTTGTCTTGAATCCAGAACCTATGCTCTTGACTTCTCATCTTTTCTCCATTGTCAGTCAAGCTGTTCATTTTCCTTCTCCTTTATGGCAAGGTATTTTAGGAACCAGCACCATCTTTGTCTTAGGATATTAGAACCGCAGGCTAGGATTCTAACTGCATAGAACTTCTTTTCCTAAGCCCAGACTGCATTACAGTCCATCACAACAGAAGGAATGCATACATGTGTGTGTCACTTTTGCCCACTTTGGAAATCTTTCCCTCATTCTGTTTTTTTCTCTTCCATACGTGCTATGACACACACACAACTTTATTCCTCTCTGGACCTTTCCCCTGACATACTAAATCTTAAATCTGATTTCTTCCTATTATCTTTTTAAGTGATGAAACCTTTTTAAATATAAAGCAGTCCGTATTGCTTTATTTATGTTTTTAAGGTAAGTTTGGAGTTTTATATTTGCAAAGTACAGCAGAGTGAGTGCAGGCTTTGGAAACTGACAGATTCTAATTGGTCACTGTACAAGTTGGAGCAGCTCTAGTTTGTAACAAGAAAGTTCCCAGGTGACATAAGCTGAACAATAAAAGTGACATCAAAGACAAAGGCAGCGTCCCGTCTGGAACATGGTGTTGGGCTCTGTTCCTTGAGTCTTTCTGGTACCAGGTTCACACGGAGGCTCTACCCTATTGCACAGGTACTTGCAGAGATAATTTATTGGCTTAATGAGGCCACTCTATCCTCCTGCTCTTCCATTCTTAATATGTTGGTTCTGTTTAAACTGGCTTAGTTGGTTATAAAGTGGCTGCTGCTAGTCCAGTTAGCCAGAGGCAGAAAGAGGGAATGTCCTGGGCTTGCTGATTTGGCTCAGTGGCACCGCGCCTGCCTCATAAACGCCAGGTCCTGAGTTCGATCCCCAGTACTAAAAAAAAAAAAGAAAGAAAGAAAGAAAGAGGGAATGTCCTTTCTCATGGCTCTTTCTTCTCTGAGAGATGAGAAGGATCCTCTATAGTAGACTTCCCATTACAGTTCACTGTCTTTGCCAGTCTATTCCCAAATCAACCACAGTGGGCTCTCCACGGCCATTGGCTCCACATCTAGTCATCCCAGTACAGTTAGAAAATATCTGGAGGGAAAAAAATTGCATTTGTACTGAACATATGTAGGAATATATTTTTGTCATTATTCCCTAAACAATTCAGTCTAACCATTAACATAGCGTTTTATTGTCTTAGATATAATTACTAGTCTTTAATTGCTTTTAAATATATAGGAAAATGTGCAAATACATCATTTTATTACAGGGATTTGTGCATGCATAGAGCTGTTTATGCACAGGCATCCTGAAATCCATCCCTTATACATCCAGGGGACTACTGGCAAGGTGAATGAGTTTCCTTCATTGGCATAGCTTCGTCAAGATTGGTCCAATTTATCTCTCAAATCACCTGATCTCCAGTCCTTGAAAAACAGTTAGGCTTTTCTTTCTTTGTATTGAAGAAAAGAATGACTGTTTATAGACAGCCGGCAATGTCTAGCACAGTACATGATTAGCACACATACACGTTTGATCTGTATTGTAAAGAGCAAAGGTATTTTAAATAAAACAAATTCTCATGTATTTCTCCAACTCCTCCTACTTATTTTTGTTCGCAGTTGCTTCTTCCTTCCTGCTTCCTTTTTCTAGAACTCCTAATAAGTGGCAGACATGTTCTATTTTGAATTTTGTTTTGTCTTACACTTACCTCATCATTCATGATTGCATGATGGTATAATTCAGTTATTGGTCAAAGAATCTAAACAGCAGGAATACAGTATAAGCAATCCTGAATACCTAAATATGTGTTTGATTTTTTTTTATCCATTCCTAAAAGCTGATGGAAATTTTATATCCTTGAAATTGACAAAAAGTTTACATGTGGAAGTATATATTTGTATTTCATATCTGGCCTTAAGAATTTTTTTTAATGTATTGAGTGTTGAACCCAGATCTCATGCTTGCTAGGCAAGCATTTTACCACTAAGCTACATCTACAGCCATTTTTTAATATTTTCCAGCTTTGTAACAGTGTCTTGTTAAATTGCCTGGGCTGGTCTTGAACTTGTGATCTTCCTGCCTCAGCCTCCCAAGTAGCTAGGATTACAGGAGTGCATGTAGGTTGACCTTAAGAACTTTTCAGTGTGTGACAGAAGAGGTTTGGCTCAGAGACTACAGAATGATGGACTTTTAAAAAACTACCAATCAAACTTATTTATATAATTAGCGTATACTCTTATGTAAACTTGTAAATACAAGAAACAACCAATTGGTTTTAGATCATATGAGCTTTTAAAATTATTGTGCATTGTTTCAACTAAGTCAGCCTGAGGTCCGAATTGTTTGTTTCTAAGCAAAGCTTCTAAGCTTTGGAAATGTTAAAAGTTCATCGAAAAATTTTAGCATGATAGAAACTGTATCACTCCACTTAATGAGGTTGTGTATCTATTAGTGCAGTTTTACAACAATCATGAAGATGTTGTTCATTTTTATAAACTGTTATCATTTATTTTAAACTTTTTTGCTCTTGTCAGAAGTATTTTCAATTGAGTCTGTGGCTTACTGCTATGTTTAAAAGAAGCTTGTTGGCTTTTTTTTCCCTGTAAGGTTGGTCGAGGTACCTTAATAACCTTTTTAGAGTTTTCAAATGAGGGCCATTTTGTTTACAATGAAGTTTTATCCTTTTTGCCATCTTCTATTGCAGCGATTAAGATTTCTTGAGTAAAACCAGCAATGCATTGTAGTCATCATTGTATTGTTCGTGATTTTAATGGGAATGTTCACAGAATTTCACCACTAAGTATCATTCTTGGTATAAATTTTTGGTAGATTTCCTTAAAAAAGTTAAAGGAGTTCTCTTTTAGTTCGTGATGTTTTTATAATAACTGGTTTTTATGCTCTGTCAAATGTGTTTTTTAATCTACTAAAGTAATTTCATGGCTGGACTCTTAAGTCTTATTTACATTTAGTACCTATGTCCTTATGTACAGGCGATCGGTTCCAGATCCCTGTGGGTACCAAAATCTGAGTATTCTGAAGTCCCTTGCATAAGTGGCATAGTATTTACATGTAACCTATACTCATCCTCTCATACACTTTAAATCATCTCTAGATTACTTACAATACCCAGTAACAATGTAAATGTCGTGTAAATGGTTGCTATACTATATTGGTTAAGGACTAATGACAAGGAAAAATGTCTGCATGTTTGGTACAGATACACATTTTTAAAAAATATTTTCCATCCTCATTTGGGTGAAGCTTCAGATCCATGGGTACAAAGGACCAATAATAATGTTTATTTGTGTCCAATGAGATGGTAGTATAGATGACTCAAAAATAGTACAGATAATATGTAGATAACAGTAATAACATAGGTAACTCTAATATTGTTTCTTATGATCTTTAACATGTTCTCTGTAAATTTTGTAGGTATTAGTGCTGTACTTATTGATGCTACTACTACATGAGTTTATGCTAAAAAATATTCAACACTTTTATGTAGAGCATACAAAACTTAAACTCATAGATGTAGGGATTAGTGTGAATGGTTACCAGGGGCCAGTGGGAAGAAATAAGTTAAGGAGGTGTTGGTCCAATATACCAAGTTTCAATTAGGAATAAGTTAGTTCAAGAGATCTAGCTGGGCGCAGTGGCGCGTGCCTGTAATCCCAGGACTTGGCAGGCTGAGGCAGAAGGATCTCTATGAGCTCGAGACCAGCCTGGGCTACATAATGAGTTCCAGGTTAGTCTCAACTATGTAGTGAGATCCTGTCTCAAAGAACAAAAAACAAAACAACAACAAAAAAAGAGATTTACTGTACAGTGTGGTGACTATCATTGTATGATACTGCTGAAAATTGCAAGGAGTAGATTTTCAGTGTTTTCCCTATAAAAAGTATGTGACATAATTCCTATGTTACTTAGCTTAATGTAGTCTTCCACAGTGTAAACATATTTTGAAAAACATGTTGTAATTGATAAATATATGGAATTTAAGACAAAAAAAGTTAGGAAAATGAAAAAGATTTTGAAGTCACTTACAAAATAATAGCGACTAGATGAGTAAATCAACGTGAAATTTTGAGGCAAGAAAAATAAAATGCAGCTGTGTCAGTAATAAAATTATTATAAACCATAAGATCTTACTCAGAATTCAGCGGCAAATTCACCTTTGAGATTCCTGGTTGCAAAAGAAAATGAGAGCATATTATAAATAACACGATCCTAAGTTTCAAGGTGATAAAAGCAAAACTGGTTTATTGGAAAGAAATCCGATGTGGTGATAAGGGAGTCTCCTGGAAGACTCCCGGGAACCCTCCGAGAAGCGCAGGCATGAATGAACAGACTGAAAACTGGCTCACTGCCTCCAAATTAAACGTAAGATAAAATAAGGGGAATGGCAAGGAAAATGAGAGTACTACATAGAACAGTGTAAAAGTTCCCCGAGATTGA